TCATAATACGAATAAGCATGTAGTGCGATTGTTAGTAACCGATGCGAGTAATCGGATTGTTGTAAAAACCACTATATATCATCTCGCTCAAGTTTTTCATTGTGCTTCAAAAAAAGGTGAGTTGCTAGATTCTCTGTGTATGTGTGTGTGTGTGTCTATGCGTATATATTCGCGTATTCTTTTTTAATAATTGTAAGATAATAATTGACAGGAAAGAAACCATGTCTAATATTTTTTAAGGAATCAGTGCAGTGTTGTGCAAAAATATTTTTGAATTACTGCAATATATAAGATATTCTTATCATTGAGCTACTTTAATTTTATAATAGAAATTGTCTAGATACATTCGGCATAAATCGTGGAATTTCTCAACTTGAAGCAAAAATCTATAATGTAATTAATATGCGGGATATTTAACGATATAACGACGATGATTTTCTAATTAATAATTTTACTTTTAAAATATTAAAAGGAAGAAAAATCGGATCGGTAAAAAATCGGAAAGTAGAGAGACTTAGATCTTTTATCATTTTTAAGGTCTTTTACTATTAAAAGTATAGATCTTAGAAATATTATATAGACACGCATCACTATTGTGCTTCTCAAGTTGATAACAATCTAAAAGAGAGATTGAAACGTTTCTGAGTTATAATAAGTCTTTGAGCTCTTGCATCTTTAAAAGTATCTATATTTTTGTTCTAACAATACATTCGTATTATCTCTCTCTACATCAAATCATTTTTTTCAGATTTTTAACTCGTATTATGTAACGTTTAAAAGGACAAATATAATCGGTGAACGACAATGGCTAAAGTTAATTTGAAAAGAGTAATTAAGAAGAGAGTCCCTCTTTTGAAATGGCTACCGCTGTATAAAACGGAAGAGATACTGGGTGACCTTGTTGCAGGTGTCACCGTGGGATTAACCTTGATACCTCAAGTACTTTAAGCGATATATACACAGATATTTAATAGATTCAGTCGCGTTTAAAAATGTAATATTTGCGGTTATATAGGCAATAGCTTATGCAGGCTTGGCAGGATTGAAGCCGCAATATGGGCTTTATAGCGCGTTTGTGGGAAGTTTCATCTATGTCGTTTTTGGGACGTGTCGTGAAGTCAATATTGGTCCAACTGCGCTTATATCTTTATTAACTGGGGCATACGCAAGGTACGAACACATTAAAACTCCTCGTAAAGGTAATAAAATGGTAAAGTAAATTATTGATCGCATTTTTAAATTTCTAAATTTTTGATTGTGATAAATTCTGCGCTTTTATATACGTATATTGATTTTTCTTTCCCTCTTCTTTAAACAAATATATTCTTTCTTTAACTGTCAAATTCTTATATAAAAATGACTTATATAATTATATATTTATGCTTTCTTCTAATATAATCTAAATTTTATAAATTTTATTGATAGAAAAAAGAAAGAAAGAGGGGAGGATAGATTGTAGTATCGTTAAAAGCTATATTTAATTATCTGATACAATAGAAAAATTCTCTCTTGCCATTATGCATGCGATTGACGTAATAATGTTTTTGCTCGAAGTTTCATCCGGTTAAGGCATAAAATTAAAAAACGTATTAATTGAACGAGATTATTCAAACTATAACATAATTGAATTATTAAAGACAATTTTTTATAAATTCTTTCGTGAAAAAACATTGTTCATGTACGATATGTCAAGGTTGTAATATATTATAAAAGAGTGTACAACTTATATATCTCAAGTTTAATAATTCTTTCAGAGGAATTCCCGAGTATACAGCCTTGCTTTGCTTCTTGTCAGGATGTATCACAATATTTTTTGGCATTCTGCGCTTAGGATTTTTAGTTGAATTTGTTTCGATGCCGGTAATATCCGGGTTTACGTCAGCTGCGAGCGTCATCATTGCTTGTAGTCAATTAAAGAATTTATTGGGCTTGGATATTCACGGTGAGAATTTTGTTGAAATTTGGTGGGAGTTGATAAACCATATAACTGACACCAAAATACCGGATTTGATTCTCTCTTGTTGCTGTATTTTAACTCTACTAGCCTTGAAGGTATACTACTAGGTTTATTTAAAAAATAAAAATAACACAATTATATATAATACGTGATTGTATCCATTAACTTTTCCAGTATTTAAAGGATATAAAATTTGCCAATACCATGTTGAAGAGATTCCTTTGGATGATCGGTACGGCTAGGAACGCTCTCGTGGTCATTCTTTGCGCAGTTACGTCTTATATTTTCGAGCTGTACGATGGAGCACCCTTTATTCTTACGGGCCACATCGATGCTGGTTTGCCGAATGTCGAACCGCCTCCATTTTCAAGGACAATTGGCCAAAACCAAACTGAAAGTTTCATCGATATGACCAAGAATTTCAAGTTTGGCATCCTGGTTATACCGCTCATCTCCATTATTGGAAATGTCGCCATTGCAAAAGCCTTTTGTACGATATATTTTCAACATATTATCTAATATCGATTCAAAATTCTAATCTGAAAAGATAGTATAAAGCGATGCAAAAATTATTGCGACGCCTATATGAACGCGTGATCATCAAGTTATTACGAGAAAATCTCTCTGAATAATTCTTATTGTTTAAAGCACGAGGTATGCCTCTAGACGCTACGCAGGAAATGTTAACTCTCGGACTATGCAATGTAATCGGTTCGTTTTTTCATTCGATGCCTGTGGCAGGATCTTTCTCAAGAAGCGCAGTGAATAATGCTTCTGGTGTTAGAACACCTTTAGGTGGCATATACACAGGTAAATTGCAAAAAAAATATCAAATAACATCAAATTTAACTCGTAATAAATAAATGTTTGATAAGTTAAGCGTGTTATGGCGAGAATTTTATTTTATTAATCTCTTAAAAAAAAAAAAAAAAAAAAAAAAAAAAAAAAAAATTAAAAATTCTACCCACCGACGATAGTATAAAGCGATGCAAAAATTATTGCGACGCCTATATGAACGCGTGATCATCAAGTTATTACGAGAAAATCTCTCTGAATAATTCTTATTGTTTAAAGCACGAGGTATGCCTCTAGACGCTACGCAGGAAATGTTAACTCTCGGACTATGCAATGTAATCGGTTCGTTTTTTCATTCGATGCCTGTGGCAGGATCTTTCTCAAGAAGCGCAGTGAATAATGCTTCTGGTGTTAGAACACCTTTAGGTGGCATATACACAGGTAAATTGCAAAAAAAATATCAAATAACATCAAATTTAACTCGTAATAAATAAATGTTTGATAAGTTAAGCGTGTTATGGCGAGAATTTTATTTTATTAATCTCTTAAAAAAAAAAAAAAAAAAAAAGAAGAGAAAAAGTTATTAAAATAAAAATGATGAACAATTTCAGGTATTCTAGTCGTACTTGCTCTAAGTTTATTAACTCCATATTTCTATTATATTCCGAAAGCGACATTGAGTTCTGTCATAATTAGTGCAGTGATATTTATGGTAGAAATTGGTATGATACTTCCAATCTGGAAGTGTAATAGTGAGTATATATTTAAAATAATTAATAATGTACCCGCAAATTAATTACAAATGACAGATTAAAAAAGGACACACGTCATCAAAATTCACGAGCTAATTACGAATTAATAAGTGCTATATTTCTTCACAGAACGTGATTTAATACCGGCATTTGTCACATTCCTCGCTAGCCTATTTGCCGGAGTCGAACTGGGAATTTTGATAGGTATGATAATCGATCTCGCCATATTGATATACCTTAATGCACGGCCAACAATAAATGTCGAATATAGAAATGTAAGGAAATAAAAATCGAAATTGTATATTTTCGGCTTATCAAATATTAATTGAAAAAATTTCCAATATAACTACATCTAACAATTTTATCTTGACAGACTTCAATAACGAATTATGTCATAATTCGTCCTGTTGCTGGAATTTTGTTTCCAGCAGTAAATCATTTGAGATCGTATTTAACGAAGGTATTATCTGATAAACGTCACAAATCTTCAAAAAATCTCAATACCTTGACAAATATCGTATTGGATTGCGAGCATATCGACAAGATAGACTTTACTGTCGCACAGGTGAAATAATTATTTATTTATTATCAATGCGAAATACATCATCTTTAGAAAGAGAACACGATTTATTATTAAAATATAAACACAAATGTAACATTATATATACAGTCCCCTCCCATCGACTAATTTACTTTCTGCGATTGTTACTTTTAGGGTATCAGCATGTTAGTAAAAGACTTTAGGGATAACAATTGCCAATTAATAATGCTGCGACCGAATTCTGATATTTTAAAAAGCATACAATCCTTGTCGCACAAGCAAATCTTGACAGCAAGAGACGAAATCGATCTAATTACGATTTTAAAAGAATTCAAAGGCATGACACAAAATGCAAATGTTGAAATCGAGACTTCAAATGGCAAGATGATTTCTAAAATGACGAGCGAACTTGTCTCTACATGGTTGTGATATATGTTACAAGCACTTCCTTTACAATAGAATTCGACAAATGAATACATATGTTGATTGCATAAATAACTAGATTTTATATACATATCTTATTTTTATATATATCTATTTTATTGAGTTGTAAATTTTTGTTTTTCCTATGTCGAATCCGATCAAATATAAAAAATAAACTTTCATAGTAATATTTTTGCATATATGAACTTACACTTTTGGCTTTATTTAACCATAAAATTTTTAGTTGTATTCGATTTCCGAATAGAAAGTAAATCTAATATTTCTATAAGCATTTGAGTACATTATATATATATTCTCAAATTTCAATTTTCTATGGGGGTGTTGAAAATAAACTTTTACTTAATAACTAAGCGATTACTTTACAAAACATGCAATTACTATATACGATTAATTTTATATAAATCCACCGCTGTGAATTGGATCAGATTGAAATTCACTGAAATCAATTGTAGACATTAGGGATAAGATTTGTTAAAGGATTAGCACAATGACATAAAACAATTGATAAATATAACAATCACACGCACGCAAAATACGTTATATTTATTTTATAACTTTGGTTCAGAGAAAATAAACTATATAATTTTCATTAACAAGATTCAAATAAAAATAAAATAGAAAAATAACATATACATGTGTGTGTATATATAAAATATACTGTATGAAACATTTTATCTTAAAATTATAAGAATCAGATATATAAAAAAACAGATCTTACATACTAATATGTTTGGAAATATAACAATTCTTGTACATATCTTGCGATTTGTAATTGAAACTTAATCTATATGAAAAGATTCAAACAAAACGTAGGTATTTCTGAATATAGTTTTCATCTTAAGCTCTTCTCTTACAGAATTTCAAAGCAAAAATTTTTATCTTAAGCTCGACGAAAATTGAAAACACTTTAAATGCAAAGAAAACATCTCATTTTGGATTTGTTTTATATCACAATATGCCAATATAAATGCTTATGTTAATAATACTCAATTATCTTGTCTTTTACTATAACATAGTTTTTTAATCTTAATATTAATCGGTTATATGAAAACGTAATACTAAACAAATAAAAGAAAAAAATATTGTATATATTTAATTATACCCAAACTTTGTATCATATTTAAATTACGAACTTAAATCTTATATTTTTACGTATTTTAGGCTTGTATTACGATCCGATACTGCTGATAGATATATATTTTTTCGAAAAATCTTGGTAAATAATTGTATTGTAGAAAATGCCATTACATTTTTGCAATGACAACGGAAAATATATCATGTTCATTCTGGTTTAAACACGTGCTGTAAACTGCTCAGTCTTATTTGAGAAACTTACGTTATTTGTTATAAATTCTTTTGGAGATATTATTGGAGGAATATTTTCCGATTCATTATCATCGCAAGCAAGATCTTGTATCATTTGACTCTTCGGATATTTTGACATTTGCATGTAATTCACCGCATTTTGATTATCCTTCTGATTTTGCCAAAAGTATGCGTTACTACACTGATTTTTACCTATCGCGGGCATAAAATTCTTATCTTTTTGGACTCCCGAGTATGAAAGCGGTGTCACATATCGAGAGACATTATAAACCATTCGGGAATTGTCTTGACACTTTTTGTAATGCTGATTGGATTTCATTGGAACATTATCAACAGCATTCCTCGGTTGTACAGTACAATTACTTAGATCACTATGTGTACCTCTAATATAATTATTCATTTGCATACAAGGAATATATTTAAGCTGCTGATCATGCATAGAGCCAATGTTGTTAAAATTATTCAATTGATTAGTTGTATTAGGAATTACACGAATATAATTCGTGCATGAGGGATTATAAGAGACAGGCAACGGATACTGTAATTGCGGATTTCGCGTTTGCACATTCGGGGATGGTGCATAAATTATTGGATGCGGTAGCGAATTCCTTATGTGTGTATTATTAAAATCATTAGGGTCGAAAGCACCAGAATTGTAAGTTTGCATTATGTTGTATGGATCAACATGAAAACTATCTACACAAGAATTCCATTTTCTAGTCTGACCTGATGATATAGAATGGCCAGTAAAATCTGAAAATGTCGTACCAGATCTTTGTTGTATATTTGGCGTGTATTTATAGAATATGTCTGATTTTTCTTTATTACGATTCATTGCAGTTTCCAGTATGGAGGTAGTGTCGCTATCATTCGATGTTTGTACATTGCTTTCGTACAGTGCCACATTGAAAGTATTCGGAATTTGCGACGGTGGCATCGCATTGCCAATTGAAAAAGGTTGATTATAAAATTTGCTACTATTTGGCTCCCGTGATGACATTTGCTTTGTTTGATCTGTTGCTTGCATAATAGTTTGTTGTACATTGAAACGCATATTTTGAATAGATCGCTGCGAGTTTACGATTGTAGCATTCTTCTGTATTGTACTGTTGGATAAACAGTTATTCCAAGTAGTTTGACTGCTCCCTAATTTCTTTACATTATCCATATGTTGTGAATATTCTAACTTTAATGAATGTTGATGTATCGCATCGGCTGGTGTTTCTACGGTATACCTATTAGAAAGTAAATTGGACGAGTGTTTGAATGAATTTGTTTGTTCATTATCAGTAGCATTATTTATTTCTATATTTTGTTGATCTATATTGATTTTAGACTTATCGATCTTTTTCATTTCTTTATGACACCGTCCTAACATAGGTTCCTGTTTTCTGATATGACCAATGCTTAAATTCGCACATTTCTTATTTTCCATTAAATATGTCTTGGCATTTACAAGATTTACCTTGTTTTCATTATTACATACTAATGTATCTTTTTTATCTATAGTTGATTTTACATTTGATTTTGAAAATATATTAGTAGATATATATTCGCTATTTATAACACTTTTGCGCTCAGCATTGCCGATAGACTTATTGTCAAATCTAGGATCATTATATAATGAATTTCTTCCATAGATTGCAGTGTGCTCAATATTTCTCAGCATACTTTTATTTTGCATGGGATTTGTGAATGTCGAGTTTTTATATTGCATGACAAATGTAGTTTTAAGATTACAATCACTATCCGCTTTTTGGTGACACTGTTTCTCATCAATGATTTTTTTATTTCTCCTCTCTTCATTTAAAAGCAAATCAGATTTTTCGGATAGATTGTTTACTTTTTCTGTTTCCTCTAATGTTTTATTTTTATAAATAGCAAAGTTAAGCATAAATGCATTCTTTTTAAAAGACTCTTGCATCTTTGACGCAGATTGTTTAGAAACTGTTTGTTGTTTCTGCAATATTGCATTTTTGTTTATATTCTTATTTTGATATGTCACATCAGCTGTTTTATTAGATTTTGTCTTAATATTGGAAAGATTTGAATATACAGCATTTCTACAAATATTATAAAAATTTATAAATATTTATAACAAAATAATATATTAAAATAGCACGTTAATTACAAAAAAGTTAAAAGGTTTTCTTTACACTTACTGTGTAATATCTTCGGCATTATTTTGTGACATATTTGATTGATCTTTTTGCATCTTATCAGTATAAAACTGAGCGTCCAGTTTTGCTGTTATAATCCTTTCTGTAATCATTAACATGTCTTCTTTCTCTTCTTTATCCTTCAGGTTAACCAACTTTTTGGAATTTTGGAACGAATGAGGCAAATTAACATCTTTGTTCCACACATTTTCATCACTTCCTGACATTGCGTCATTAGGCAAATATTTTTTGTATGTATCCATCAAACGATATTTATCAGATTCTTCAACTGATGTCTTGATATTTTCTGTCAATAAACCCTTATCTTCCAATTTATTATTCTTGTCATGATCTCTCTCTCTCTCTTGTATATGCTTATAAATAATTTTTATCTTTCCACTAAAATAAAAAATCAGTATAAAAGTAATTTTCAAATATAATACGCAGAAACAATATCACAAACTATACCTTCCTAATCCATCCATTTATATATACTCTCAGCTAGTAAAAATTTATATAAGGTATAAAAAATATTAACACAAGACTTTATAAGAATATATATAAGAAATATTAATACAAATTGTGTAGAGAAATGTGCATAGAGACTATCTCAGAGAGCTATAGGTCCTACATTATATTTTTGTTGTACTAAAGTGTCTTAAAGTTTAAAACTTTAAGCCAATCAAAAAGATTTAAAAATTTCACTTTCTTTTTTCATTTTTGAAATTTATAGCTTTTGTTTCAAAATTTTTTAATCTTACTTTATATAAAACGCTTAAGCTTTAATATTTGCAACTAAAAGTAAAATAATACTGAAAGATCTTGCACATGTACAGAATATAGATGAGTGTTATAAATTTAAGTATAACTTGTAACTTATATTTTGTATTAACTCAAAAATAAAGATTATATCATTTGACATGCAATATTGAAAATTACAAAAGATTTTTTTATTAATATAATATACAACCATAGCATGATGCTTGCTTAAAGTTGACATCATACAAGAAGGCAAAGCAATGTTAATACACACTACAAAAATTATATATTATACATTAAGACAAAGAAATAAGGTTTAAACATACGGGTTTGATGGAGGTGACATGTTTTTCAGCCAATGCATGTTATGTAGCTTATTGACCAATGCCTTCTGTTTTATATCAAATGTTTTTTCTAAATTTTTAACGGCGCAATCCATTATACCTATCACAAATATATTTATGTACTAAATATTTATACGACACACATGCAATCCAAATTAAAATTGAAAATAAAAAAATTTCTTATTTCCTTTTCTAAATTGTCTCAACATCTTTGTTTGGATGTTGAAAAATATCCCTAATATAACTTACAATAATAATTTAACTAATGTAAGCTATGGCTTACTTTTGTCTTCCATTATCTTAGATTGTGACATAGGATTAATATTGTCTATGTATGTGCGTCGTTTTGTAATTTAATTCAGAAGACTTAAGAACTTGCAAAAGACTTGTGTAAAGTAAAGCCAAGTTTTATGTAGTATTAGTACTAAATTGATTCTATTCTTTATTTGCCGTTTAGTGGCTACTATATATTTCACAGGTGTTAAAAAAATATTATTTGTTCGAACGATCACAAAATACTGTTAGTATGATAGAGATGTAAGAGAAAGGTGATGAAAAGAATGTGATATATCATTAGATGACCGGTCACCAATTTTTCTCAAGGTTTGAAATAATACATTTCTGAAAAAAAGTTCTCGCCAAGCTCTTACAACAGATCTAAATGTTTACGAAAACGAAACCGAAACCGAAACCGAAACCCTCGACCCTCGTGCGACCGATACTCGAACTACATCAGACCATGCTTAGCGGAGATTCGAACCCAACTTAGCAACTTATCATTAGCCGAGACTCGAACCCTGCATATTAGCAGAAACTTGAATCCTACGAATTTTGTTTAGCGGCTATGTATATGTAATATTCACAATTTTAATGATCAACTGTGTATATGTATATATACGTTCAAATATTGATATATGCGATATCAAATATGATAACAAGAAACTGAGTCCGTTAAAACAAAAAATTATCATATTCATATATATTAACTTATAAAAAGAAATTATAGTAGAGATTAAGAATTTCATTAGCTATTGAATTAAAATTATGTTACAACATAATAATAATTCTATGAATTAAAATTATGTCTGGACATAAAATAAATTCTGAATTTTTATTATGTGCCGATATAATTTTAATTTATTAATAAGAATCTCAATTTTTCTTAAGACAATTTTTTTTTTCAAACTTTTATATTGAATGTAATAATTTTTATGTTATTAAAAAGTAAAACGGCGTGCCATAATCGTGCACGATTTAGATATCAATCTTCAATAAATCTTTCTGTTTCACATCAACGTTTTTCTTATTCTAACATATGTTTCTTGTATCTTATACTTATGTATCAGTTGATTAAACAATCATTAAATGCGCATTATGCGCACAGTTGTTCTGTTCAGATATAAAATAGAGTAATAATCCCGCATTATACACACACAAAATAAAATTGATTCCATTTTATTGATTTTAAATATTTATTTTTATAATACACAACTTATATAGTAATAGCATAAGAAGCAATAACGAACATCCGTCCTATGAATTACATATATATATA